AGACCTCACGTTTCCACTGTTTCCATAAGGCACCCTCATCGGAACAGCAGCTTCGACCTCTTCTATGTCTCACCAACACTACAGGCGAGACTCGAACACTGGTAGTGCAGGTAATAATCTGGACACGCGAAAAACTAGACTATCCTGACAAGAATGCCTTTGGGTCACAGGGCAGATGCAAAGTTCAAGGAAAGCTAGCAATTCTGTGGTAGGATTGTCGATTAAGCAAAGTTGCCTTTTCTAAAAAAACCGACTGCATTACTTGCTTTTTGTTTATAAGTAGGTTTACGAGGTTACCACTAGATCATGTATATAAGATGTATTTATTCTATTTCGTTAATGAAAAATAAGTAGTGCAATCTATTGCTATAGCAAGTACAACGTTGTTTCCACGACAATCCCACTACAGAATGTGATAAGGGGAAATACCTCGGCTTTCTTCAAATTCGCATAGTTCCTGTGACCCAAAGTAACTCGAGGCAATATGTCATAGTGGTCAATGCGTCCAGATTATACACCGCATTACGAGGATTCGAGTCCGGCCAGGGATGTTGATGAGACCTAGGCGATGTCAAAAATTCAGTTGGCCTAAATTATAATAATTTCAGGAGGCAAAACTTAGTGAAATTCAAGGGAAACGTAATATTTATTCATAACATAGTTGGAAAATTCAACTATAAGTTCCTTATCACCTTAAACGAAATAGAGTGAATACATATCATGAACAGAAGGATAAAGTCTCGAAGAATTCGCCAGGCATCAAGGCCAAGAGAAATCGGCCATAAACTTCTAGTGAGGTTAGCCTGAGAATCTAGTTCTATCATAATATCATCTGAAATGAAAGTGAGAATAACACAAACCGTGATTCCAGACCACTCTTATTCCGAGATAGTCAGAGACGACTTGCATCTCGACCACGTTGTCTTCGATGGCAAATCCGAATTCCGAGAAAACCGGTGGCACAACTATTCCGTTTCGTTCACTCGTTAGGCGAATCGAAGCAGTGGCCACTTGGATGATAATCTCTTTGGTACACGTCACCTGAAGTGCAAGAGATGGAAGGATGTGAAAAAGCAATTAAGCACTCCCGATTAGAACCTTAATATCACAAAGCTGGATGGGCATAAACAAAATAAATAAAAGCTACTGCCAATTTGTCCCGTTTAGTTGGGGATAGTTACTAGACTCAAAACTAGAGTTTGTGAGTTTGAAACTCATAGGGTTTAATCCTCGCTCCTCCTGTTACAATTGTCCCATCTATTATCCACTACATGGTACCAAGTTGATACATTGCCAAACAATCTGCTCCACTATGATCCTTTCTTGGTACTGGAAGCCGGGTTACCTTTCAGAAAAGATTGTCTCAAAAACTTCATCAAAATGTCGTGCAAAGCATGTGTACACGGGAGATCAACGAGAATAGGCCCAGCCATCAAGCTTAAGCGAAACGAGTACTCAAATTGGAGAACAAAAACTTACCAGTGAAACCTCTTGAGCAGGTTCTTGCACCTGCAAAGATCTACCGAGAAATAAAAGTAAAAATATCCAGATTTACTACTCTGTTTATTTATTTGGCATAAAAGTAAATTCTTACCTTGTGTCTTCCGCAGGGGACATTCATCGCTGCAACCATCATAGTCGGGTCTGTTTTCTCATTGGTACCCTGGTAATACATAAGTCTGTATGTGCAATCCCCCTGAAAGGCGTAATGACGACCGTCAAAGGTTTGGTAGTGGGGATCTCCATGGGCCACACAGACTCCTTATGTATGCAATGGAGAAGGCAAATTAGGATCATAGAAAAGGGTTAGACCCTAGGGCCGTGCATAAAAACGCCAACAAGGCTGACAAGTTTTGATACATTTATTTTACTCTCCAATCGGTAACTATGACAGGATAATAGACAAAACTATCTAGTAAAAATGATGAGGAATTGTTTATCAAAGTACCCTTGACTCACTTATTCTTTTAATATACTTTATTTTCTTATGTTATCAATAGATTAATAGATGATGAAGTACTGAAATATGGTGAATATATCTATAGGTAATCTCAAAACCCTACGTATAGAAACTAAAAATAAGTAATGTATTCTATTTTTATAGCAAATAGAACTTTGTTCACCGAAACTCCCACTGCCTGGTCTTCCTTAAATTCACATCTACCCTGTGACCAAAGGGGACCCGTGGTAATGTATCTACAGTGTCGAGATTACACGCTGCACTGTCATTGTTCGAGTTCCGCTGAAGATATTGATAAGGTCTGTATGATAACACCTTACGGGAATGCAAGGCAATGTGAGCTTCAGTAGAAGCGTCAGCTCTATTCATATGATTGTGGGAAAATTCAACTACCAGTCCTTCATTACTTTAAACGAAATAGGGTGAATACATCTCACATAAAAGACTTGACTGTTTCTAGACTTTTTATAAACAGCGCACAAGCCTCTCTCTACTTTATTATAGCACCTAAGCATAGATTTCCACCCGAAGCCTTGGCAACTGATGTATGGCCCAATCTTTTCATTTAGATGGCCTTCATTATTACGCGCTTCGGTGAAGAGAAACTGTGCTAAATAAAATGACAAGTTTAAGCCTATTCTATCCTTAAAGTTCTATCTATCTATTCTATCTTTAAAGTTTCTACATAATTCTTCGCTATCAATGATCTTCCAATAAGTTATAGGAATGACATCGTGCTCAAATGATGTGTAAATGATGACAGACGAAGGCTCATCTTGCTTTCAATAGAAGCGAACAAGATTGCATAAACATCATAAACTAGACGACTCCATTTCTACCAAACGAGAGCAGGCCAAGTTGGATTCACCGTGGATCTCTGATGAGATCGACCTTCGAAACACCTTATCATACATTTTCACTGTTAGCGGAGGGGAATTCGGCGAACGTATATTAAAAGATTCCTCAAAAACCAACTTTTCTTGGTAATGTGGCATGAAGTAGGCTTCTCGCGCTCTTCACCTCATAAACTCACAAGCATTGGCTTACTTACTTTAACTTAAAGTAAAATATACTGGTGGCTGTGTTGCCGACGCTGCGTTGTAGACAGATGTTGGTAATGATATTCGATTGAACAGTACTGCCAGACAAAGGTGTCTGTGCAAATCCCACTAGTTCGTCCTATGGACAGAGTCGAACTTGAGGTTAAGGAGCCTTGTGGTCAGTAGCACAGAACCGAATTGGCATGAGCCTGTTTCTACGAAGATAGGCTGAGTTCTTGAAAATGCCTTAGTCATTTAGTGTGAATGTACTTTTCCCCTCGAAGGAAACACTGGTTAGCTTAGTGCATTTGGTGTATTTTCTCTGACGATATCTGTCACATGATATGTGGGCAGAAGACTTCTTAGCTCAATTCTAAATTCCCTATTCCAAAACGATTCCTTCCAATCAAATTTGCATTCTAAATGAAAATTCAAATTACATCATGAGCTTATCTTGCCTTGATCCAAGTTCATTTTGGACTCTGCCAGTTTCTAACGCAAAAACATCAGCGCAAGTCGAGTTTGATTGTCGGGCAAATCTCGATTTGATCTAATGTTGGTATGCAAGTTGAAAGTCACAATGAATTTGGTAAATATGGCACCCTCACCATGATCATAAGACAGCTGATGATTAAAAATCTCTGAACCTTCTTTCTCTCATGCAAATTGCTCCTTACCTTCACATTCTTCATTGAGGTCTCGAACTTTGATCCAGTCTCGCGCAGTACACCTGTATTCCGAGCATTTCTTCCGTAGAATATGTCCTTCGAAGTACTCCTGTCCTCCATATTCGCACGGGCATTCGTGCTTTTCGACGCAATCACCCTAGCAACATAAAGAGTTTACAGTGGATAATAGCATGAAGGATTATGGATTTAAGTTGAGCACAACTCAGGTCTGTAACTTTGTCAGGTTATTGGCCAGCATTTAATGAGTAAACATGTTGCCTGATCTCTCTGCCTTCAGAAAGAAAGTTCGTAGGAAAATACTGCATAAAAAGCTTAATTCAGCACCAACTGTGGGCCCTCAATGATGCTCATCCTCTGTACATTCATTGCCTGAATGTGAGCATTTAGGCCAGTTAATAAATTTACTTCTTGTATGAAATCATGGACTCAGCAACGAGATGCATGGAATTGGCTCATTCTCCTGGGCTTTTACTCATGAGGTAACGTAAATGACATATTAATTAGCATTGAAATGTATTTTGCAGATTCCTCTGAAAGAATTGTATTGTTGTACTTTTTAGTTGGTTGTAAAATGCAAGTAGAAGGGAATATAAATTTGATTTAGTTTGTAGGATTGTATATAACAGCAATCTGCCCTTTGCGTAAGTCAAGTTGTACAAGAAACACTTTCTCCACCACTGAAAAGCAGTATGTTGTTTGCCTGTCTTTTTTGTGGGGGAATAGATATAGTACATCCTCAAGCGACGAAGCCAGCGTCTATTTAAGTGGTAGCTTTTAGTAGCCATAGTCCTTGCCGAAAGTAGCCTGGACTTGCTCATAGGGTCCGTCCCGG